TGCCTAATTTGCATATGTCAGCAATATACAAATTAGGTAAAGGCATTAATTAAGCATGCGAAAGGCTGACTTTTTAGAACAAAATGAATAGTTAAAGGACTTAAACTAAACCAAATTGTCTGAAATTTTGTACAGTAATTAAAAACCCGACAAATTTTCAATGTATCAACTCAAAATATTATTACAGCTTTTAAATTTTGTGCGCGAGCCATTTTTAGTTTGTTGGAAAAGACACACACCCCTGGTTCACAAAATTTGAGTTCAAGAAATTTTTTTCATTATTTTACATTATAAGTACCCAAAGAAGCTATATATTTTAAAAACCGATACAAATAGGTGTTTTGCAAAATTGAGAGCAATTTCAAATCTGTTCAGTTTTTTTTTATACACCCTGTAGTTAGTGGAAACGTCATCCAATAAGAAGCGCGCATTTGGGAGTTAATCACTATTTAACTACAAAATAGTGATTAAAAAAGTGATTAAGCATTTTATACAACTGGTCCCAGGGACCCTACTGGACTCTACCACTGACAAGTAAAATCGTCTGGTGTTAGACAGAGTAAATACTAAAGAGGGGTGCATTGCCCGCTAATGGGTTAATAAATAAAGTGCAATTTTAGTTCATTTGCAAACATGTAGGAATCGCTTAGGCTTTTGCAAAGTCCTCTTAGACTTTTGCAAAGTCCTTGCTCTTTGTTGCTTGTGTCTTGTTTATTTGTTTTAAATTAGTAGACCAGATCAACTTGTAGCAAGTCTATGAATTCCTCTGAACACACCTCAAGATTCTAACAAACTTGACCCTTAATTAAACAATTTAAAAGTTCATTTCAAATCAGACATTGAATCATAATTGCTTGTCAACATAATAAAAAAAAATTATTGGTCAATTTGAAAGGAACCAATTAATTACTTAGCAAGCGTGTTAAATTTTTCGAATAATTATTCAGAGTCTTCAGAGGATTCCTACAAATTAGCAAATGATCACAGTTTTTCAGAATGTTTGATTGCATTTTGATTGCATTTTGCATTTTGCATTTTGAATGTTTGATTGCATTTTGATTGCATTTGCTTGATTGCATTTTGTATACATGTTCTGTTCAAAAAATGAACCCGCTGGATACATTTCAAATCACATGCTGTTTTGAAATGAAATAGTAATGAATAGTATATAATTAATAAGATGTAACAGAATGATATTATTATAATACCTGATAATAAACTTGTTATAATTAATTTATATTTAGAATATTTACAAACAATAAAATGCTGTTATTCATTGTCTTCAGAGCTACCTGACAAGCGAAGGTGTCCACATCTTGTGACAGTGTGCTCAATGTCATAATCCTCTAATTCACTATCTTCAAATTCATTATCTTCACTAGGCGGTTCTATTTCTTCATTCTCATCACCATCATCGCTGCTACTGCTATCATGTAAGTCTCACAAGCACTGCCAAACATACTCTGCCTGTTTTCTTTCAAAGAAGTTAAATTTCTCTAACAGAATGTCCATGCTGGAAATATTCCTTGCATTTTCAACAATAGAATGTATCAAAGACCTGGTAAATCCAGTTGCCAAATCTAAACCAATCAGTAGCTGTTCGTGTGTCATGTTACCTGCAAGTTGCAGGCGATATTCTAAAATATCCTCTCGTAACTGTCTAGCATTTTCTCCTTTCAGTTTCTTTCTGCTGGTCTTCTCATTAACAGAAGACACATTAGTCACAGAGTTCAACAGGTTTTCAAATGTGGACTGGTGATTACCTGGATTGCATGTATCAGTACAAGCACACTGTTCTTTATCAGGACATATGCACAAACACTTACACTTGCCTGCACATATATCACAGCAAGAATGAAGTATAGCATTTGGTTGGGGATTACTCACAAACAGTTTGAGAAGTAAGACTCTCCTACACTCTGTTGTGTTCCTCACATATTCTTTCATCTGCTTTGTAATGTTACGATTACATGTACAACCTTTGTATTTTAACAAAATTGCATGTGCATTTGCTTTATCACGTCCAACTCTACCAGATTCTTGAAGATAGTCATCAAGTCCACCCGATGGTCCCAAGTGAATGACCACATTTACATTCACTCCCATTCCAAATGCAATTGTGCAAAATACAACCCGTACAGTGCCATTCTCTTTACAAAACTCTGTTTCTACCGTCTTTTTGACAAGGCTGTCAACATCTTTTATATTTTGCTTGTTTGGGTCACCAATAATCTGGACGCAATCCCTCATACAGAGATCCTTTCTTCCGTGTTGCCTCTGTTGCTGTGGCGGTGAGTGCAATGAAAGGAACATTCTTGTGCACCAATGACCTTAGCTCTGCAAGTCGACCATAATCACTTCTGAAAGCTTCCTCTGTGAGGCTATCCTTTCCCCTAAAAAACAAACCATGTGTTTATTAATAAGATATTATTTTACAATAATGCTTACTGTAGATACTTCTTTATTAGGCGGTTGCAGACCAGCATGTTTTCTATAAGTTTATTGTGTAGCAAGTTTATTTGCTTGTCTGTATGGGATACTTTGTTGTTGATACAGTGACATAGGGAAAACGTAGAAAATTGCTTTACTCTGTTAAATATACAAAGTAACAGCTCTATGTGTCCAACTAGGACAAGCAACAACATGAAATATAACTGCTGTCGAGACTACTGTATATTGAACAACTTAATAGGCAAATATGATATAATATGCAAATTAGCATGGACCTGTTCTGACCACTGTTCTTTCGGACAAGCTAGCCCTGACTGGAAAATTTGGAAATTGCGCGTGGAAGTTTTTGAAACTTTAATAGTAAATATATAGAAAGCACCAAAATTGCGCAGAGAAGAACTACTTCCCGTTCTTCTCCGCGCAATAAAGCTAGCTTTAAGCCTTCGTATATGAATTTTTTCAAGTTTAAATGCCACTTACCACTTGGTGATGCAATGACTTTCATCGATAAATACAGCTTTCAAGTTCTCCTTCAAGTGTCGAAATATGTAGCGGTAATTATTCAGAAGTGCTTTGGGACTCCCAAATACGATTCTGGATTTGAAATCTAAGATAGATTTCAGTTGATTTTCCGAACAGTCATCCCCAATATAGGAAGAAGGAATTCCACGACTGACCAAATTGCTAACTTGGTCTTTCATAAGCGAAACCAACGGAACGACAACGAGAACCAGCGACTTGTTATTTTCCGACAAGTACTCGAAAGCATGCGGAGCTAACTCAAAGGTTAAGCTTTTCTCATATCTCTGCCAGATAGAAACGAACACATCTCTGCCAGATAGATAGGCTTCAATGGTCTGCCGTTGATACTCTTTCAACTCTAAATAGCCAGAAAACTGCTGTGCCTTTTCAAACGCCTTTGAAACCGAATTCTCCATTTAGAAAATACATAATTCACGGCTAATTGTATTAAAATTGTAAACACAGAAACTACAGACACAGTGTTGAAAGGCAGAACACGAAATACTGCGCAATTTCCTTGTTTCCGGAAGTCTGTTTATAAATACGTCAACATGTCCCTTTCACACTTCTCTGATTGGTTGAAGAGATCATCAACAAATGAATATGCACAATATATATATATAGATCAGCGTTACTGACCCATTTTTGTGTCAGTAAAATTTGGCGCGCTGCAAGTATGACAAGTCAGCCTCGCATGTATGACAAGCAGATGAAGTCGCTCGCTGCACGTGTTTCATTCGAGGCCGACTTGTGGCAAGTCTATTGCTTGGGAAATTTTGAAAAAACTTGACACAGAATGAATCGATTTAACTACTTCAATACCATCTTCAAATCATGCAAGGAGAACTTCGCCATCGACCTGAAAGGTTTTTGTAAAATTTTCCTCTGACTTGTGCAACAACAAAAGCTGGAAAGGTTTAATGCCGAGCCTGTCAAGATCGTTTTGTAGTTGTGCAAACTCTATTTCCAGTAAAGTCACCAAGTTTATTGGTAGCACTCACTGAGAAGTCTCATCGTTAACATACAATGTAATTAATGCATGTGTTGCTGAGCGAACAAGTTCCACAAAACATTCTGGACTTCAAGTCGTAGAGACTGCCTGTGCAGTATACAACAGGATAAACCCGTCCTTCAAAAGTGTTTGGGTTAGCCCCTTATCTGCTGGCTTGGTGAACATCAGGGAACTAAACATAGTGAAAAAGTCAAAGAATGAGAAATGAAAAGAGCATGGGAAGCTTTATAAAAAGTCAAAGCAGACAACAGAGGCTGAGTGGGCTAAGACAGGATATTGCAAGGTAAATATTATCAATTATCAAATGATTTATATTAATTATTTAATATTAATTATACTGTTGTCTTTATACAGTAATCATAATGTCCTATTAAGCATCATAATAGTATAATGAAATTCAGCAATAATACAAATGGGCAATACATTTATTCAACCCTTATGTTATGCAGCAAGGCAGAGAGAAAGACTGGCAATGTGTTTTGAAAGTTTTGAGGAGGCGAAACTGAGACACCAGGAACCAGGTAGAATACCAAAACTTAACTGCCAATATTAAGAGAAGTCCTGTTGGTAATTTCAAAGACATGAATTATACCGATGGATCAATTGTCAATTGGTCAGAACTTGCAAGGCGGTATCAAGTCAAGAACAAGAATGGTGACTGCACATGATCACTCATATTGTATAAAATCTCTTCGTAAAGTGAAAAGGCAAGTTGATGATTTTAGAGATTGAATACATCACAGACGAAAACCAAGAGAAGACATAAAAAGGTTAGCATGTTGACTGTAGTGGTAAGTGAATTGAGAAAAAAATCTGATCAATAGTGATTGTGCAACTATTCGAGAATCAACAGTGACAAGTGAATTGAGAAGAAAAATCTGATAAATAGCGATTGTGCAACTATTCTAGAATCAACTTTTTCCGGATTTCCTAAGAAACTTATGAAGAGGTTGGTGACACAAAAGAGAGAGAAATCTTGGGGCATATCCACCTGAACTTAGATCATTTGCTCTCACCCTGAAATTTTACTCAACAAAAGGATAAAACTATGTGCAAAAAAGTTTTGATTTAGGGCTGCCACATGTAAATGTGATTTGGTCATAGTACAAGTTCTATGAACGGCAAGGCCAGTTTCCACAAAGGATGCACTGACAGCATTGAAAGCCAAAGTTAAAGCTGCAAAGAGAGGTAATCAAGAAGTTGTTTGTGCACTAATGCTCGATGAGATGGCCATATGCAAGCATGTTGAATGGCATGGTAAGCAGTTCCGTGGTTATCTTGACCTTGGCACAGGCATCAATGATGACTCGCTGCCCGAAGCAACAGATACTCTTGTTTTTATGGCAGTCGTGGTGAAGTCCGGTTGGAAAGTACAGAAAGCAAACTGGACCAAAGAATGCATAACTAAGTTGCATGAAGTAGGGGCGATGGCCCCACGTCTCACCAGTCGATGTTGAAATTGCTCGGCTCTCAACTGTTACCTTGCAAGCATACTTCCAACATCCATGTGACCCGAAAGCCAAGATCTATATTTTCCTAGATGCTTGTCATATGATAAAGTTGGTAAGAAACACCATGTTGGACTAGAAAGTCCTAAATGATAAGGACGGCTCAAGTGGCAATTCATGCAGGAAGGTCCTCTGGTAGGAATTGAACCAACAGCCCTGCGATTCCAGTGCAGCGGTTAGATTCAGTTGGTTAGAGCGCTGCACCAGAATCGCAGCGCCGTAGGTTCAATTCCTTCCAGAGGACCTTGTGCTGGATTTTTCCCAGTAAAGCTGAAAATGTAACGACAGAACATGTCGAAAATGGTGTAAAAACAACCAAGTTTGTCCAAGTGTAAATGGATGTACGAGGCAGCCGTGTGTTTCATGTAAAATAGACTGCTGAGATAACTATCCATGCTAAGCTTGTTGCTATGTATTGCTATGTGCTGCTATGCAAAATGACGAATATGTCTTCATAAATCTTTTTTAAAAAGTAATAACAAAAATTCTCACCATGTTGGTGTCCGCTGCTGTTATTAAACGACCACAGAAATAAAATTTTTCTCCAAGTGGATGACTGGAGAAATTTAAAGACAAGTGGTAGTAGTCGTTATATATATACAATAAAAAAACAAGGGGGAGCGGGAACCAGAAAAATTTAACTGGAATTAGTATTACGCGAGAGTGCCTTGAAGGGCGTTGGCCATGGGCGTGGTGGGCTGTACGGACGGGGGGAGTTTTGGTGGTCATGTGACTTCAGGAATGTTGGTGTCCTGCCGCGCGCTCTGGAGGGTGTGTGTGTTTGTTTTTTTGTGGGGGGGGAGGGGATTTTTTCGCGTTCTTATGAGAACGGTACGGGCGGGGGCTGGGGCGAGATGTTACTCCAAAGCCGCGGTCGACCGAACTGATTCGGATTTGAAGTTCGCGCTCTTTTATGCGCACCGTAAGGGATACCTGTTTACGCTGGCGTAAGGTTGGTCGGACCTGTGAGGAGACATAGTAAATTTTAATTTGAACGATCATTTGCTTCTAGTATAAAAACGCGATGCAAAAGATCGTTTAAACCAATCATTTACATGTAGTCGAGATGCGACGTGAAGACTTTTATAGTTTTGTTTGGGTAGTGATATGGATTGCACGTGTGTTTGTGAAGAGAGGGATGATTGTGTGTGCAATTGCAAGTGTATTTTTTGCGAAATAATTCGCGAATTGGATGTAAAAATAGAGGAGCAAAGGCTGCGCGATAAAGCTAAAAAAATAAAAGTGTCACGATTTTGTGAGTGTTCTCACCAGGGTTGGTGTTATTGGGCTAGCCAAATGAAGAAGATGAAGAGGGCCGGTGCAGCTATAATTGGTCAACCCTGGTGTTATTACTTTCTTTGGTGCTAAAACTTTATTGTTTTATGTGTACTGTGTGTAGTTGTTATTTTAAAATAATTACACACAGTACACAAGAGATGTGTAGAGTCATGCGCACTCGTGTGGAGAAAAATACCGTAATAATCGTGCAAGACAAGTAAGACGTGGATATATACCAAGATGAAGCAGACGTATAATGTGGGCGCGTGTGTGTTGATCATATTCGACATCTATGGTGGCGGAATGGCAACGCGTTGGGGAATAAAAGTCCCAAGTCAAAGTGAGTTCGATTCTCACACTAAGATGATCGGTATTCTCACTATGCATGGCTCACTTCTTTTTTTCTTCTTTTGGATTTTAAATCAACCACAACAGTGTATTATATGTAGATTGTTTTTCTGAAAATAGAAAAACCATTCCCATACAATATACGGTCGGGTAGAGTTTTTTCCTTCTTTATTTTTTCTTCTTTTTGTAGATTTGTTGAACTGTGCGTATGTGATTAGTTTCTGAAAATAGAAACCTAATCACATGCAACATACTGCTACTTTTTTATTTATTTTACATAACGACAGTAATTTTATTATT